AGGGGGGGGTGGTTAACAAGCATTCATGCCTTGTTCTTAAGGGCCTTTTCAGAAGTTGGTCCTGATTGTGGAATGGTTACCATATGCCTCTGTAACACTGTCCTCTCAGTGCACATATCCATGGAGAGATATTGCAGATGCTGTGAGCTTCCATTGTGGAGTTGAGAGAGTGAGATGATGTAAATCTCAGAATGCTTTGGCAGGAAGAGTGCTGTAACAAACAACAACTCTTGCCTCCACACCCCTGCTGAACAATACTAACTTTAAAAGTTTTAGCTTAAACATGGAAGGAATTTGACCATGTAATTAACTTTTTTTAAATCCTGGTCTTGCTCTAACCCATAGTGATAAATGGAAGTTCACTGTTTTTGTTTTTTTGGTTTTTTTGTTTGTTTGTTTTGGTTTGGGTTTTTTTCTGCAAATGCAACAATGAACATGTTGATAGAGAACTGGAGAACAGTTTCATGGGTGACTGCTTATACTGGAGGAGTTGTACTAATTTACATTTATTGCAGACAAAGTAACAGTTGGATATTTGTGCCTGGAGCTTTTTTGGAGAAGGGTTTCCACAGCACAAGACCCACCAAAACTGCCTGCATCCTTAGTCAGTTATCTCTCTATAGCAGGGATAAGTCACTTCCTAAAATGCTCACTTCACTTATGTTTGGTCTTGGTTTATAAGAATGTCTGCGTTTTTATAGCAACATGGGGGAAAATTGTATAGTAGCTGTTCATGCTCTGCCCATACTGGGACTGTCCCTTAAACGGAGTACTGTGACCAACCACTGCTGCTGCCTTCCCAGGTACAGTGCAGGCGTTATGGTCCCCACACCCAGCAGGTCCTCCTTCCCAGTTTTGCCATCTCACTGGATTGCTGCATGTTGATGCTCTTGATGAGCAGGACTCTGGGCTGGGAGGACCCTGCTCAGCTGTGTGCAGTACCTTGCAGTTTAGACTCTTAATTGTGTCTTGGTGCCAGGTTTCTTACAAGTGCTGCTCCTCTGCAGTATGCTCTAGTCGGTGTGTGCATCTACAGGAGATGAATTAGTCCAATGCACATTAAGCTACTGTACATTAGTGCAGCTGGCAAAACCCATGCTAATGTGCAGTAGCTTTAGTCCAATGTGTATTAAGCGTCATACAAACAGTTCGTCTGCATTAAAGTGCAGTAGTGCCAATTATAGCACATTAAGTTAGTACCTGTTATTATTACAGGGTACTTCTTACACTTATTCCATTTGACTAGCTTTAGTTTAAGCACCCCTGCCACCATTTTTAAGCGTAAGGATGCTACACACAAGACATGGGAAACTGCTGGGGCACAGTAACTGCCACGCTCCAGCAGACCCAGTTAATCAAGTCTGCTCTGATGTGCTGAAATTCCAGTGAGACAGAACAGTCTCCACACTTTTGTGTATAGGTGCACACAGGTACTAAACTTAATGCCCCATTTATTCTGGTGCATTAATGAATGTGTAGGCAACACTAGGCGTGTCTATCTTGGTAACTATCTTGGCTTTTCTGTTAGGAGTGCTATCATCTTCCACTGTTGGAGTATTTCTGACCCTTGCTGCTGAGACCCACCCTTGATATCTTTTTAAGGGTGGAGACTTAGAGCTGTTTAATTAGAGCCCTTCCCCTTCCTCCTTATGATGGAGACTAAATGGGACTCTGTTACAGGCACCTTCACAAACACTTAACTTCTCTTAACTTTAAAAATGTTTGTGATGGCTTAGTCCAGAGGCGGGCAATTATTTTGGCTGGTGGGCCACTTGACAAGTATTTGTGAGCTGTCCAGGGCTGCAAGGGTAGCCCTGCCCCTTGACAGGTACCCTGCCCCTTTGTTACCATAATGGGAGCAGCAGTCCTGTCCCTACCCCCTGACCTTTGCTACTGGAAATCCCTCCCCCTACCTCTGGAAGTACTCCTTTTGAGAAGAAGGGTTTGCCATCTTGGAACTAGAAAAAAACCATTATGTAATACTTATTATAACACTTTAATTTGATTTGAAAGAATATTTTTGTCCTGGCTTTGTGTGTCTGTGTAATGTGTATATAAAGGCAATTGCATAATAGCTCAAAATGAAGCCTTACTCTTGTATGCTTTGGGAGGGATGGGTATGGGGTTTGTGGGATTTGTGTGTGGAAGGAGGGAAGGGAAATGTGGGTGCATATGTATGGTGGAGTGTGCATGTGGGACCCCCCCCCTTATGAACATGACCCTCCATTGCACACAGTTCCTGCTTGCCAGTGGTGGCAGCAGGAGCTCAGGGCCAGTGGCAGGCAGAGTCCTCCAGTAATGTGGTCCTGGTGAACCCTAGGACTGCATGTGGCCAGGCCTCCGCATTCAATTGCACAGGGCATGCCTGAGCCCTGCACTGCTGGGCGGAGCTCTGCGCAATGAAGCCAGTGGTGCAAGTCATGGGACTTGGCCAGGGTGACAGGGAGGGGGGAGGAGCCAGCCCATCTCCACAGTATGGAGCCTCCCTGCCATTTCCCAGGACTTGTATGTGGCAGTGAGTGGGACCAGGCTGCTGGCTCCATTGTGCAGGGCTCCCCCTAGAGGCACATGGCTCAGGTAGAGAACCTGGGAACTGCATGTGAGCTCTGGTAAGCCTTATGATGAAACCAGGGGACCCCTGCCAACCTGGGCTGCGCACCCCTGCCACCCCACTGGCCCCAGCCCTGGGGCACTGGTGCGGGATCTGTGCTCTTGCCCAGATGCCACTTTACCTGCTGCTGCCTTTCCCCTGCTGCTTCCCTACCTTCCTGCTTGCCTGCTGCCCCTGACACCCCCTGCTGCTGCTTCTCTATCTGTGGGGCTAAGGTCAGGGCCATCCCACAGGCAAGGGTGCAAATACAGCATGAGTTGCCCCTGCAGGAGTGAGCAGTGCTCAACCCCATATAAGCACAGCAGGAACAGGCCAGGCTGGTACAGGAAATTGGGAGGGACCCACCCAGGGGCTGAATAAAATCACCTGGTGAGCCCAATCTGGCCTGCAGACAGTATTTTGCCTGTCCCTGGCTTTGTTTAATTACAACATACAGTTAAAAACAGTCGGTCAGGATCTATTCTAAAACCTCCAAAAATTTCTAGATCACAGTTTGAAGAATTATGTGCTGACCTCCTTCAAAGGATAGACGCGCCTCTCCTTTCCTTAATGGAACAAACACAGCTTAAAGTGGAAGATGTGACTTCTGTTGAGATTGTGGGTGGAGCAACACGCATTCCAGCTGTTAAAGAGAGGATTGCAAAGTTCTTTGGGAAAGATGTCAGCACAACATTGAATGCAGATGAAGCAGTAGCAAGAGGCTGTGCTCTCCAGGTACAGTATTCACAGTACCTCTTTTTCTCTTGAATCTGAATTCTTGGGCACACTGATGAATTGACCAGGCAGTTATGATGACTCACAAGAAGAGCTCTTAAAGTAACATGGGGAACATGCTGGCTGCTGCAACAACGATTGGTAATTAAAGCTGTATCACTTACTGATTGAGTGAACTACAAATGCTCACTACACATCATCTGGCTTGAGCTCTTAGGGCGATTACCAATTTTTTCCGAAACTCCTAATTCTGTCTTGTCAAAATACTTCATTCTCTCTCACCTTTCTTCTGGCCTATTCTGTTGATCCTGCTAAGTGTTTATGAAACACTTAGTTTTGAAACTCGACTGGCAAGCAGAATTCTAGACAATACAAATTAACAAAGTAAGACTCTAAGGCAGGGGTTTTCAACCAGGGGTACGCATGCCTGTGAAGGTACTTGGAAAGGGGCTAGGGGATACAGGGCGTAGGCAGGCAGCGATGGAGCACTGCCACTCACCACCCTGCGTCACCTCCTAGGAGCAGGGAGGTGAAGAGGGCAAGGGGAACAGCTCCCCTCTGTGGGGCTGCACAGGTGCTCCCAGCTGGCCACACTCCTTAAAGGTTGAAAACCCCTGCTCTGAGGCATTCAGGGCATTATCTTTTGCCACTTTTGTCATTGCTTTGGCTGTGGAATACATCTGAATTACACTTTGGAAGCACGTGACCTAGGAAGATCATCTCTGGCAGGAGTGATTTAGTTCAGCGGTTCCCAAACTGACAGATTGCACGCCATTGATTTAAAATGATACAACCTTAAGTACCACCAGCAAATTTTTGTCATATAATTACAATAAATCTGCTAATATGTACCACTGACACTGTCTGCATACCACTCGTGTTACCCATACTACAGACTGGGAACCACTGATTTAGTTAAATTTTTTATCAGCCTTTGAAAGGTATATCACCAGTATATTCAACTGGTTTATATCTAGACCCTTCTCTGCTGCTGTTTCTCACCCTCTGTGGCAGGCAATGCTTACAGTTGCTGCTGAATTTGTCCCTGCTATTGAGGCTGAGAAATGGCAGTATAGGTGGTGTGTAGTGGAGGTGGCAGCAAGTGGCTTGGGTACTGTGGAAAGGGATGCTGTGGAGAGGAGTGCTGGCCTGTGACAGGGCATTGATAGTGTGCCTTTCTCTATGAAAGGTTGCTAAGTCCTGCACTCTCTTATTTGTGGAAGTAGTCAAGTCAGCAACAACTGCAGTGGGCCACACACTTGAACTGCTGAATGCATGCAGCACAAGCGCCTGACTCAGAGGACTGAAGTTCTCTTGACAGGTTAAGTAACAAGATGAATTTAGACTAATCTTTGTTCCAATATTTATTCTGCAGCAAACCAGAATTGCTCTTTTAAAATAAAGGGCTCTTCACATTCTTCAGGCCCAACACTTGAATGTGAGGATTGTTTTTTCTCTTGGATTAAGCTCTCATTTAAACAGTTAATTTTATGCAGTTCTGTTTTAGTATAGCCAATATAGTGTGGCTTTTTCATTAACAGTTAAAGAAAAGGAAGTTTTTTTGCAGGTGTCCAACTTGCACAAATAACCAGTGGTAACAGCACTTTGTTTATCTTCCAGTGTGCAATTCTTTCTCCAGCTTTCAAAGTGAGAGAATTCTCTGTGACAGATGCAGTCCCATTTTCCATATCTTTGCTCTGGAACACAGAAGCAGATGATACTGAAGGGTAGGTAGCTTAAAATTTAGTTATCTTTTGGGTGTGGACTCGTGCATTTTAACTTGGGTCTTGATGTTCCATTGCAAAGCACTTGTCAGTTTTGACTGTGGTTTTGTGGTAATGATGTAGGATGAAAAACACTTAATTCATTCAGATTGACTTTAAAGTATGCTAATCTCCACCCAAAATATGAAGCATTTAGTAACTCATACTTGGAGGAAGCCTCTCATACCACTGGCGTTCTGAGACCACTGCCTAATAAGTAATATTATTTCATTTTCCTACATTAGTCTGTAATCTTTCTTAACTAAGCGGTGATGTAGAAGAGCTAATGACTACAAGACTTAGCTTGTTATGGCTTCCTACTGCTTCATTCTGATTCTTGCATTGCTCAGAGCGAGCAAGCAGGAAGGTAAACATGGTAGCCACAGCAAACTACTGTCTCTGATTCAAGCGGGGCTAATCGGAGTGGTGAAACTGTACCCCTTGTTGCAGTACTCTTCTGTAGGATCCCTGCTATGTCAGAGTAGCAAAGTTGCAGCTGAAATGATAGAGATGATGACAGAGACGGTGACAAACTAACAGATCTGGCAATACTATACCAGAATATTTGCTGTTCCTTGGAACTTCCATCTGTCTGTCTTGCTAATCATTTCCTAAAGAGAACTATGTATCAAAGGTCAGTTGTAATCCTGTTTACCCAAAACTGGCCAATGTGAACTGCAAGTCAGCCACTTTATTCCAAGTAGTAAAGCGTTCTCTACTCTTATGCTAAAACTGTATTAATGCTTCCAGTGCTGCAGGATTCCATTCCAACACTGCTGACACAAAGGGCGCACATGTAGTAAGCTAGCTGTACTGTGCCATACCAACAGAGCACCATTTTATACTTGGTGTGTGGGGTTTCCATGCAATACTGGGTAAAACCACTGTAGGTTAGGCTGGCCAGAAGTGCAGCTCTCGATTTATACAGAGAGATTTAGATGAAGGTAAGTTGCCTACCCCTCCTAGGGGCTTCACTGGCCTGTCTAGATTGGGAGGAGTAATATGATGGGACCATCTTTCCTGCTGTCGTGGTTCCTGATGATGTGGTTTTTGTGCTTTCACGTTAATAGTTGGTGACTAGGGGAACAGGATCTGTTCCTTATCCTGAGAGAGTAGATAAAGTAGGAGAAGTTGCTGGTTCCCCGTCTCCCCTCATGTTTTTTCATCAGCCTGAGTTTATTCATGTCCTTTTCTCATCCAGAACTGCTGTATACAATCTAGAAATTGTTCCTTTAGCAGGCAAAGCTTCTGAAGATAAATTGTGTTCCCAGTTTTCTCAGAAATGTGCTTTCTGTGGCAGCTAACTTCTCACCTAGCCAGGTTTCCTAGACTAGGGTTCAGCAAGGAGGGGGAGCAAACTTCTTGGAAATGGGAAAGAATTAAACTGGCAAAGTGGAGGCAAGAGCTTAGAAAGCAGAAGAATGCTGGATGCTCCAGTTGCTTGTTCTGTTAGAGCAAGAACGGAGGAACGTTCCAGTGTTTGGGTTCTCTTGACTGAGCCAGAGAACGCAAATTACCAGGCAAGTGGGAATATAATCAGCTTTTAAGATTCCATGATGAAGCATGTTACAGAAGGGCAAATTACACCTTCAACTATATTTCAAAGGAGTAGAAGGAGATTTGACTAAAACTCAAGTTATGCAGGTCTGTCAATTTCCTTCCCATAACTAAACTGGATTGCTCATGAGATTCTAATGGGAGTGAAGTGTGATAGTTTAAGCATAAAATTAAGTTACTGCTTGGTGTATAGTTTTATAGCAAATATGGATTTTTGGAAATATTCCTGAAATATGATATGTCAAAGTATACAACATTTCTCCAAGGAAGTTTGAGCCAGTCAATGCTGTTCCAGTGAAAATAACTCTTATTTGATATTGAATATAGGGTTCACGAAGTCTTCAGCAGAAATCATGCAGCACCTTTTTCTAAAGTCCTCACCTTCTATAGAAGAGGTCCATTTGAACTGGAAGCTTTCTATTCTGATCCTAAAGTTGTTCCATATCCTGAGTCAAAGATTGGTAAGTGATTGTCCTGATGAAGTGGCACTCTCCTGTCTTAAATCATTTGGTATAACTTTATCACTGCTTTAACAAAGACTGTGTAATGTTTATATGTACAACAGTTGTATTGCATCGTTGGATTTGTGTAGTCTTTGATATCCAGAGATTTGGTTTTAATTTGGCCCTGTTTACATGAGATTGAGTCAAGATTTAGTTTGGTCTCTGGTAGCCTTTTCCAGAGTGCAAATTAAAGCATGCTAAGAAGTATAGCAAACTCCCATGCTTGCAATTGTACTGCATAATCATTTTATCTTAAAGAATTTTTTAATGTTTCTATTAGTCCAATTTTCTACCTTGCATCACAGCAGTCTGATTTTTAAAATGTCCATAAACCCCTCTCCTGAAAGCAAAGCTTTGGCTTTGAATTCTCTAGTGAAGGTGAAATGACTAGAAAATTAAAAAAGCTTTTGTTGCTTTTATTCTTGTAGGGTTTCCTTGTAATGTTTAATCCAAGTTGTTCAGGGTTGTGTGTCTGGTTTTGGGTTTGGGTTTTGTTGGCTTGGCCGGGGGGTGGGGGAGTGCTTCCATTAGCCTTGGGTTGGTCAGGCCTGCTCAGGCCACCTTTTGATCCATGAGAACTGAAGTCTTCAGAGGGCAGGGAGTGTGTACAGCACAGCTGCTGCCATCATGGGCAACCAGTGCTGGCACACGTGCATGCAGCAGCAAGAGCAATGGAAAGGAGTAGTGGCAGGACAGGAGTCTGAGCCACAAATTGGACAGTCCTGATCTAGAAAACTAATTTGGAACTCTCATTCCTAAGTAACTGTTATAACTTGCCCTAGTTGTTAGTGCGTATCTGTATAGTGTGTGTATGTGTATATACAGGAAATATTCTTAAATAAGTCCATTCTAAATCAAGTTGCATAAACCCAAAGCTGTATATAGCCTTAGCCAGTTTTCTTTCTTAGCTTCCCAATACTTATTTAAAATTTTTTGAGTGTTTTAGCTCATTTTGACTCCTGTATCAAAGTACATTATTAGACTTTTCTATTCCTATTAGAGTTAAAACTGGAGTAAGCTTATTTTTTACATGGTTCTATATTGAACATTAACTTGCAGAAAAAAGATACTCATTTCTATCTCTCTATTGGTTTTAGCCCCTTGCTTTAGTAAATTTTGTAGTCCTTTTTATCACTCAGTACTGACAAATGCAGGCTACTGTACCTGGGGAGGAAGAACCAGCAGCATACCTACAGGCTGGGGAACTCCCTTCTTGTCAGCACAGAGGCAGAAAAGGATCTTGCAGTCATTATAGACTCCAAGATGAACGCAGTCAGGAAGGCTAACCTCACCTTGTGATGCATCTGTGGATGCATGACGAGCAGGTCCAAGGAGGTGATCCTCCCCCTCTATATGACATTGGTCAGGCCACAGCTGGAGTACTGTGTGCAGTTCTGGGCGCTGTACTTCAGGAGGGATGTGGACAACATTGAGAGCCTCCAGAGGAGGACCACTTGCATGATCAGGGGTCAGCAGGGCAGGCCATATGAGGAGAGGCTATGGGACCTGAACCTGTTCAGCTTCCACAAGAGAAGGCTGAGAGGGGATCTGGTGGCCATCTATAAACTGGCCAAGGCAGACCAGCAGGCAGTGAGAGTCCCTGTTCCCCCAAGCACTGCTGGGAGTAACAAGGAATAACAACCATAAGTTGACAGAGTAGATTCAGGCTAGACATCAGGAAGCACTACTTTACAGTCAGGGTGGCTAAGATCTGGAACCAACTTCCAAGGGAAGTGGTGCTTGCTCCTACCCTGGGGGTCTTTAAAAGGAGGCTAGATGAACACCTAGCTGGGGTCATTTGACCCCAGCATTCTTTCGTGCCCATGGCAAGGGGTCAGACTTGATGATCTGCTCAGGTCCCTTCCGACCCTACCAACTATGAAACTGTACAGCTCTCTACAATTGAGTTTTTATTTATTGCTTATTTTTCATGTCTTAAATTCAGTGTCTAGAAATCCCATTCTGGACACTGAAAAAATGCATCTGCCCTCAAACAAGCTATTATTAATTGGCTGAATTTTACCACATATTTGTACATTATCATTAGAATTAAATTACTTTCAAAACTGAGATTGGCACAAGTGTTGTATAAGCATAGTCTGGATTACAACATTTCTATTATTAGTACTGTTAGATTCTGGGCTGAGGCTGGAAGCCTGGAATTTCAGGGGGAAAAAATGTGTCGTCTTTCTATTAGGCATGTCTAGCATGAGATGAAGTTAAAACTGCAACTGCATGTTAAGGTAACTTATGCTCCCCCTTCCTGTTCCCATTGTTGATGGGTTAAGAGTTCCCTGTAACTTCTGTTACCCGAGCTAGTCCTCATAACCTTTTGCATTTTCTTTCCATAAGATGCATAATTCTATCTAGTATGACTTTTACAGGGAACATATGTAAAATAATACCACATGAACTCTTGGTCAACCTTTCTTTTTAGGTAGATACATTATCCAGAACATCGCAGCTCAGAAAGATGGAGAGAAGTCTAAAGTGAAAGTCAAGGTCCGTGTGAACACCCATGGCATTTTCAGTGTGTCTACTGCATCCATGATAGAACAAGTTAAAGCTGAAGAGAATGAGAATCTCAATGCTGAGGCTCAAGTAGAATCTCAGAACCAGCAGCCTTCTGAAGATGATGTAAGTTGGCTTGTTCTTTTCTATAGTTATTAAAAAATAAAGTAAATTCTCATATAATGGCATAAAGAATTCTGCTAAGCTGTTGCAGGCTGCATCAGCACCTCCTCCCACTCCCCTCCCAGCAACTCACCAAAGCTCCCTGTGTGGGATGGGGCCACAGGACAGGTGGGCAAGGCCAGGATTATAGGGTGGGAGTTTGCATCAGTGACGGTGCAGGACTGGGGCAGAGCCATGATCCACTGGCTGTACACCTCTGACGGGTGCCAATTTCTGGAGCCAGGGGGAGGCAGGGAGGAGATCATAGCTCTGCCCTGACCCTGTGCTGTCACTGCCCCAATATCCTAGACCCCAGATGCAGCTTTCCACCTGTCTGCAGCCCCATCCCAGCTGTGTGCCCTGCCCGTGAGGCTCCCAGCTGGCCTCCATGGAGACCACGGGATTGCATGGCAATGATTGTAGCTCTGCTCTAGGCCTCAGCTCCACACTGACCCCACGGCAATCCCAGGGTCTCCGTGGAGACTGGCCAGCAGCTGCATAGGCAGGGTGTGTGGCTGGGATGGAGCTGTGTGTGGGTGGGGAGCTGAGTCTGGGGCTGGGGCCAGAATCTTGGGGCAGCAATAGTTTGGGGCTGGGGCAGAGTCGGAATTGTTCCCTGCATGCACCTGCCTACAGAACCCATGCCTGTTGCAGGGACGTGCAGACAGCAGATCATAGCTCTTGCTCTGACACTGGCTCCACACTATCACCACCCAAAGATCCCATGGTCTCCCCAGCCCCTCTCACCCATCTTGTTTCTAGACGCTGCTCTCTGCCAGCCTGTGGCCCCATCCAGGCCCCCATTTGTGGGTGTGGGGCGGACAGGCTACGGTGCCCAGACAGTGGGGCTGGATCCAGCAGTGGCAGCTGGAAGAAGCCACCACTGCCAGCCAGGTTTGCCCAGAAATGGAGTCCGGCCACTGTGCACCTGAGGACGGCAGGACTGGCCACACCCTTCACAGCCCAGGCTGCTCCTTAGTTCTGGACTGGCCAGGACCAAGGGACCTGCTGCAGGCCAGACAGAATCATTTGGTGGGCCATATTGGGCCTGTGGGCTGTCTAAGGCCTGTGGGCAAAGTACATGTGAGAACTTGTAGCTTTAGGAGCAAACAAAACCTAGAAAGAGAGAATCTCTCACTGCTTCCCTGAAAAACATCTGTACTCTAAAACATGTTTATGCCCCATTCCAGAAAGTCTGACACTTTGAGGAAACTAGAATGATGCATCTGTATATACATCAGATTCATAGATGAAACACTTTAGGGTCAAGTTGTAGTATGTCTTCAGAGATTTGGGGAGTTACAACTTTCTAGGGTTGTTGGCATATACCAAATAGGGAAAACTTAACACATGACTGAAAATGAGTAGTCGGAACTAAATCTTGATATTACAGGGATGTAAACGGGTATTAAGTATTAAATTTATACAGAGGGAAAACTAGCTTTTTCTAGTAACACTGACAAGGATGATGAAGGGGGAAGAACCCTGTATTAAGATGAACTTAATTCTCTGACACTTTGATTGCAAAGTTGCTACTCAGTAAAGTGATCTTCCATTTGGGAAAGTAGTAACGCAGAGTTGTCACCACCCAACTGCTAGTCTTTCCTTTGCTCAGGCATCTGATGTGTGCTGTTACCCAAATTACCAGTAGCCTACCCACAAGGTTACCTGTAAGGGGCATTAACAGGTCTACAGCCCAGCCTTTTATTTGCTTGCATTTTAAGACACAAAAATAAATGTTTATCCCAAAGTCTACCTGGCTACTTGTGACAGCACAACATAAATTCTCACCTATACTGGCTGGGGAGACTCGGGAGGTGGGAGCAGCAGGTCTTTTTGAATTTGAGTTTTCCAGATTCCCCTCCAGCCTATGCCTGATATTTATAGATGGCTGGTTGTAATATTCTAATACAGGAATTTTCAACTAGGGGTACTTGGGGTGGCTTCAGGGGGTACTCAGCAGTGGGCCCTCCCACTGCTGCTGACGCTTCTGCCACCAGCACACTAGCCAATTGGCTGTGGGGACCTCCCCCCCCC